GTGGCATGTTAGTGTGGGTGGACTGGATGAGTGACATGTTAGTGTGGGTGGACTGGATGAGTGACATGTTAGTGTGGGTGGACTGGATGAGTGACATGTTAGTGTGGGTGGACTGGATGAGTGACATGTTAGTGTGGGTGGACTGGATGAGTGACATGTTAGTGTGGGTGGACTGGATGAGTGACATGTTAGTGTGGGTGGACTGGATGAGTGACATGTTAGTGTGGGTGGACTGGATGAGTGACATGATAGTGTGGGTGGACTGAGTAAGTTACATGTTAGTGTGGGTGGACTGGATGAGTGACATGTTAGTGTGGGTGGACTGGATGAGTGACATGTTAGTGTGGGTGGACTGGATGAGTGACATGTTAGTGTGGGTGGACTGGATGAGTGACATGTTAGTGTTGGTGGACTGGATAAGTGACATCTTAGTGTGGGTGGACTGAGTAAGTGACATGTTAGTGTTGGTGGAGTGAGTGAGTGACATCTTAGTGTGGGTGGAGTGAGTGAGTGACATCCTAGCGTGGTTGGAGTGAGTGAGTGACATGTTAGTGCGGATGGAGTAAGTGACATGTTAGTGTGGGTGGAGTGAGTGAGTGACACCTTAGGGTGGGTGGAGTGAGAGAGTGACGCCTTAGGGTGGGTGGAGTGAGTGAGTGACGCCTTAGGGTGGGTGGAGTGAGTGAGTGACATCTTAGTGTGGGTAGAGTGAGTGAGTGATATCTTAGTGTGAGTGGAGTGAGTGACATCTTAATGTGAGATTGAAGCCCAGTTTGGAGAAGTTTGGATCCAAGCCCGCGATCAACTGACCCTCGACCATATTGCGGCTCTATCATTTGGCCACGCAGTATGAAGGTTTGAAGTAAACATACGTTTCCAGTTATATTTAAGGCTTTTAGCTTTCCTCATTGGGAATACAGAATGTTTTCATTTTGTTTGTTCAGGCACATCATGACAACTGATGTTGACAATTGGCAAAGTGGGAAGACCTTCCCGGAAACCAACCTGCACATGTTGGACAGTTTGTTGTTGACTGATGTGACCTTTCTCGTGGGAGATCAAAGGGAGACAATCGAGGCTCACAAGTTTATTTTAGTCAGCCGTAGCTGCGTGTTTCACGCGATGTTCTGTGGATCGATCCCCGAGATGGGCCAAGTACTGATTCCTGATATACAGACAGACAACTTCAAGACCTTTCTAAGGTTAGTTGAGATGTTTAGTTGACACATGCATACCATAGTTTCTGTACCAAACACTTTTATTGACTTGTGTTGATATATCTGATATCAAAAGACACAAGTGTGAGATTCTCTATGTAACATTTACATTTCATCACCAGGTATCTCTACACGGATGAGGTGGAGTTAACTCCTAACACTGTTCTTGGTCTGATGTACGCTGCTAGGAAATACAACATCACAGGACTGGAAAAGCAATGTGAGGAGTTCTGCTTACAATCTTTGTCGCCTAGCAACGCATGTTTATTCCTTCAACAAGCAGACCTGTTTGATAAAGAAGACCTTAAAGACAAAGCTCTTGAAGTCATTAAATCCAATGCCGAGGTGAGTGTTGCTAGCGAGGGATTCTGCGAGCTAAGCAAGGAATGTCTAAAGCTGATCCTGAAGGCAGATGACATGAGAGTTGACGAGATTTGCATCTTCCGATCTGTGATGTCGTGGGCGGAAGCTGAATGTCGACGTCAGGGAAAGGAGGTAACTCCAGGAGAGAAAAGACAAGTGTTGGGAGAGTGTTTGTTTCTCATTCGCTTTCCAGCTATTCCAGAGGTGAAATTTGCCACAACTGTCTGCAATGAAGGTATTTTAAGTGATGCCCATGTCATAATGTTATTACAAAAATACTCTATAGGCGACCTGGATATACGGCCGTTTTGTGACTTATCTCGTGTGCCTACTGTCTATAACTTGTCTCGCTTACCTCCTGACCGACAGTACCACCAGACCGTGGCCAATTACATTGAAAGATGTCGATGTGATGCGTTGTATATATCCTGTGATGCCAGTGTTCACCTGACCGGGCTGAACATGTATGCTGGGCAGCTGGCGGACAAGGTATCTGTAGACATAGTTGTTACTGACAGTGATGACAAAACCCTGCTGCAGCATCACCAGGACGTGGATGTGACAGAGGGGCAACTCTCAGATGTGGTGATGTTTCCTTCACCTCTGTCTGTCAGCAAAGGAAAGAAGATAAAAATCAAAGTCATTAGGAAGGGCAATAAACATGTTGTAAATACGTGTACAATGAACAAGAAGCGATTGATGACACATGCTACATCAGGTGTTGTGTGGAAACTGGAGCACTGTAAGGAGAGTCAATCTCGCAACAGCCTTGAATATGGATTCCTCACTGGGTTTATCTACGAAACGTAGTGTATTTACCCTTTTACCCTGATCCGTATCAAGAGGTTCGGATGACTGAGGGACAAGATTCCTACCAACTATCTTTGTACACCAGTAATGTAATATGGTCAAAGTGAGTGTGTGAGTATGGTTTTACGCCGCTTTTAGCAATATTCCAGCAATATCACGGCGGGGGACACCAGAAATGGGCTTCACACATTGTGCCCATGTCGGGATTCGAACCCGGGTCTTCAGCAGGACGAGCGAACGCTTTAACCACTAGGCTACCCGACCGCCCCAATATGGAAATAAGCTACTCCTGGGCGTTGTTTATTGTGCAATCAAACACTACAGGGAGAATAAACCAATCAAAGTCACTCGGAAGGGCAGTAAACATGATGTATATACGTGTACGGTGAAGGACCCATGAATGGTCTGGTGTTGTGTGGACACTTGAGCACTGTACGGAGAGTACTTCAGACAACAGCCTAGAATATGGATTCCTTACTCTTCCAAATCCTCCGTCTATGTACGTCAGTAATGTAAACAGGTATAAATCACGGACAGCAGCACATGAATGGTACATATATTTGACCATTGATGCTTAATTCTTATCCACACGAGTCAACATGAGGCAACATTACGTACGTTCCTACTGGTAGAAACAGGTTTCTAAGATCATATCATGTTGTGTATAGTATATCATTTTTACGTTGATGACAATAGTATCAACAGCTTGATGACATACCTTCAGTAGCAAGGAGTTGTTTCAAATGAAAGCATAAACTCATACTTGTTTTTGAGCATTATTTATATAAACCAGAGAGTAACCATGTATTGTAACCAAACAGGTCATTGAGCTTACAGTAAAGGTTGACCAAGGGTTGACCTGTGATTGATTAGCTTGGCCACTGTGTTGGAATACGTTTGTGACCAGAATCCGGAATGTGTCCGATTGGAGGAATTGGGTATTTACCTATTTTGCTTTGCCACATATATGTTAGTTTGCCAGATTATATTTGTCAATTGTGTAAATATTGAGTTATTGTATGTTTTGGTTATAATTACATGTTCTTAATGGTGAAACTGAGTTGGGTCCTTCCTTTTGTCACTTGAAACACTGTGTCACTCGTAACATATTGATTGCATGTGACTGAGTATGGTTTTACGCCGCTTTTAGTAATATTAAAGCAATATCACGGCGGAGACACCAGAAATGGGCGTCAAATATTGTACCCATGTCGGGAATCGAACCCGGATCTTCGACGTTACGAGCGAACGCTTTAACCACTAGGCGACCCGACTGCCCCTGATTGCATGTCAGTGTATGTAGTAGTAGCTAAGGCCAATGATTGAATCAGACGAATATTGTGTATATGAGCTCCAGATTTATATAGATTAAAGAGAACTACAAAGTAGTGCATTCAGCGATATATGGCCTAGACTAGACCCGCCCTCTATCTTGAATCTCTGCACTTGAACTGCACTGTCCAAACACTTCTGAGATGATAAGCACCGCAATGAACCATCAATAAAGGTTAACATCATTACCGAACAACATAACATACCGTTAATCAGCCTCAGAACTTTTAATATATTTTTGTGGGTCTTGTTTGTAATTGGCACACAGTCAATTCTCTTTCCCACCCACAAAATAGACACAAATAACAAGCACACACTGTACGGCCCTTGCAGTACAAGCCGAAGGTCTTTAATGTCTACACCATACACATTTCCGTGTCGTTCAGGAACAGACAAAGACCATCTCTTGCTCCAATGTCACAGTGACATGCATCGTACTGTCAGATGGATTCTTGGATTCCTGGTTCCATTAGCGTATATATTGGTCCACGCTGTCCCAGGTAGTGTGAATTATAGTGATAGCTACTGATCGTTTTAGGGTTGGTTTTACTTTTGGGTGACTTCTGATGTTAAAGCTGTGTCAACTTTGGAAGTTTTGAAAGTCCATTGTGGGTGAATACTGTATATGGCGGGGAACACTTGATGCCCTACAGGAATCTCTGCTTGTTACAATTAGGAGCGACGTTTGGGTGTAGGTTCTAACAAAGGTATCGTGGCTGCCTAAAAGTCGGACCGGGCCTAGAGGTTAATATTGGCTAATTACTCAATTATCGACGACAATACGTACATATTATTGATTCAGGATATACACATATACATAACATTTATCAACAATCACAAACCACAAACGTGTTACATAATTTAGTTACTGCGACTTAAACGCTTGGAAATCAGAAAGTCGAGCGGTCGGTGAGATGGCTGAGCTAGGTAACATGAAAAAGAAGAATCGTAAAACGAAATAGGATTATAAACGCATCAAATATAAACTTTCAACTACAGTGATACACAATTCCATCTATCCGACAAAACTGAATCTATATACGAAATTGAAATGACATAAAACACGGCATTGTGCTCATATAAGCAAGGACGTTAAAGAAACCCATTTCATTTTTTTCTCACTTCTCACATTCAAATGGGAATATCAAGCGTTCGGTCCGACTTGGCCAGGACAAAGTCTTGTCCACCACGCGTGTCCTTGCTGATGTCTGATTCAGTAAAAACTTTCCGTGGCTAAATGCCAAATTGGTGTCTTGAGTAGGTACCGTTTAGGATACCACAAGCGTGACATCGACAGCCTTTGTATTTCGGTGAGACTGTAGATGTCACGTGACTTCAACCAGGAAGCAAGACGGGGGTAGTGTTGTCTTGAGGTGTTACACATACAGGTAAAGAAATCTTGCGTATATTTACATCAATGACTGTATATCGTGAAGTGTTCCAGGGACATGTACATACTTGTGTTCACCTAGATGCAACTCATTTAGGCCACAGGTCACTTTTAGCCAGTTAGTACTGATGATAGGAGTGGCAAATCGAAACTTGAGTATATGTCCCTGATTATCTCCCTTTGCTGTTCGCCTCACAGCAATAGCGGAGCTCTCTATACTCATGTATACTGCCATCAGTTACAGCTCCCCGCTACGACATGGTACAACCATGTATGGACTTGAACTACCGACATTATTGGTGACGTCGAATACTCTTTCCCCAGCTAAATACTTTTCTTTCTTTGCCAATTTGAATTTCTATTTCACTTCCACTATCATGTAATTGGTGTGGTAAGAATGTAAGGGGGAGTCCTAAACCTTTTCAAAATTCATTAAGGTATGGAATTCCAAAATTAACAGTCATACAAAAGAGGGCCAATTTCAAGATTATTGTTACACCCGTTTCCAAACTGGTGACCGATTTTACTGGGAGTGTAACGAAGGTGTCACACACTGGGAAGGAGCTTGTTCGTAATAGGGGATCATACTCATCGTTTGTTTTTGTTGTTCAATGCCGTACTCAGCAATATTAAAAACATATGACGACAGCCTGTAAATAATGAGACGGGACCAGATAATGCTCTGATTGATCTTGTGAGCAACGATCCACGCAGTCGGGGTACGACGACACGCAAAATCACATAGATTGTACACCAAATTCTTTCACAGGCTTGCTTGGAACGTAGCCACACTCAGATTCAGTGAGGTCTTCTATATAGGGGGGTGTTATAAGATACGTGCTAATCGTATGTTAGCTTCAATTTACTTTCCTTAAAGTTTGAATTACAATGTAAGCGTAATCATATTTACTCATTCTTAATGGAAGCAACATAATGGGTCAGTGATATGTATCTTAGCAACAGCTGAATCATTATGGACCGAAATAATTAGAGTGAGTGAGTGACATTTTAGTGTGGGTGGAGTGAGTGAGTGACATCTTAGCGTGGAGGGAATGATTGAGTGACATCTTACTGTGGTTGGGGTGAGTGATATCTTAGTGTGGGTGGAGTGAGTGAGTGATATCTTTACGTGGGTGGAATGAGTGAGTGACATCTTAATGTAGGTGGAGTGAGTGAGTGATATCTTTGCGTGGGTGGAATGAGTGAGTGACATCTTAATGTAGGTGGAGTGAGTGAGTGAGTGACATCTTAGCGTCGGTGGAGTGAATGATATCTTAGTGTGGGTGGAGTAAGTGGGTGGGTAGCGTCGGTGGAGTGAATGATATCTTAGTGTGGGTGGAGTGAGTGAGTGACATCTTCGCGTGGAGGGAATGATTGAGTGACATCTTACTGTGGTTGGAGTGAGTGATATCTTAGTGTTGGTGGAGTGAGTGAGTGATATCTTTACGTGGGTGGAATGAGTGAGTGACATCTTAATGTAGGTGGAGTGAGTGAGTGATATCTTTGCGTGGGTGGAATGAGTGAGTGACATCTTAATGTAGGTGGAGTGAGTGAGTGAGTGACATCTTATCGTCGGTGGAGTGAATGATATCTTAGTGTGGGTGGAGTAAGTGGGTGGGTAGCGTCGGTGGAGTGAATGATATCTTAGTGTGGGTGGAGTGAGTGAGTGACATCTTAGCGTGGAGGGAATGAGTGAGTGACATCTTACTGTGGTTGGAGTGAGTGATATCTTAGTGTGGATGGAGTGAGTGAGTGATATCTTTACGTGGGTGGAATGAGTGAGTGACATCTTAATGTAGTTGGAGTGAGTGAGTGATATCTTTGCATGGGTGGAATGAGTGAGTGACATCTTAATGTAGGTGGAGTGAGTGAGTGAGTGACATCTTATCGTCGGTAGAGTGAATGATATCTTAGTGTGGGTGGAGTAAGTGAGTGATATCTTAATGTGGGTGGAATGAGTGAGTGACATCTAACTGTGCTTGGAGTGAGTGAGTTATATCTCTGCGAGGGTGGAATGAGTGAGTGACATAATAATGTAGGTGGAGTATGGGTGGAGTGAGTGTTATCTTATTGTGGGTGGAGTGAGGGATATCTTATCGTGCCTGGAATGATTGACATCTTAGTGTAGGTGGAGTGAATGACATCTTAGTGTTGATGGAGTGAGTCAGTGACATCTTTGCGTGGGAGGAATGAGTGAGTGACATCTTTGCGTGAGTGAAATGAGTGAGTGATATCTTAGTGTGGGTGGAGTGAGTGAGTGACATCTTAGCGTGGGTGGAGTGAGTGACATCTTAGTGTGGGTGGAGTGAGTGATATCTTTATGTTTGTGGAGTGAGTGAGTGACATTTTAGCGTGGGTGGAGTGAGTGACATCTTAGTGTTGGTGGAGCAAGTGATATCTTAGCGTTGGTGGAGTGAGTGAGTGACATCTTAATGTGGGTGGAGTGAGTGACATCTACGTGTGGGTGTTATGAGTGACATCTTAGCCCAGTTTGGATTAGGTCGATTCTGTGTTTGTGAAATATAAGTGCATGGTGGTGTCAAACCAAGGATTTCGATGAGGGCAAATTCGGGAGTCCAGCCCGCGATCTTCACCCTGGCCCATATTGAAACTCCATCACCCAGTATAAAGGTTTTTATAAAACAAAAACGTTTTCAGTTAAATTTAAACTGTTCAGTATTCCTCCGTGGGTATACCGAGTGTTTCATTTTGTTTGTTCAGACACATCATGGCAACTGATGTTGAAAATTGGCAAAATGGGAAGACCTTCCCGGAAACCAACCTACACATGTTGGACAGTTTGTTGTTGGCTGATGTGACCTTCCTCGTTGGAGATCAAAGGGAGGCAATCCAGGCTCACAAGTTCATTTTAGTCAGCCGCAGTTGCGTGTTTCACGCGATGTTCTGTGGATCGATCCCTGAAATGGGCCAAGTACTGATTCCTGATATACAGACAGACAACTTCAAGACCTTTCTAAGGTTAGTTGATATGTTTAGTTGACAAATGTATAACTAAATTCTGCGTATACAAGCATACAAGCCTTTTCCGTGTGTTCTGACTTGTAATTACATCATTCAGTCGTTCCGATATGTTCAGGTACTTTTACACTGATATACCATAGTTTCTGTACCAACCAGTAACAGCGTGTAATACCTGGTCATATAACATTATCAAAATACATCCGGGTGAGATTCTCTATGTAACATTAACATTTCATCACCAGGTATCTTTACACGGGGGAGGTCGCGTTAACTCCTAACACTGTCCTTGGTCTGATGTACGCTGCTAGGAAATACAACACCACAGGACTGGAGAAACAATGTGAGGAGTTCTGCTTACAATCGTTGTCGCCTAGCAACGCATGTTTATTTCTACAACAAGCAGACCTGTTTGATAAAGAAGACCTTAAAGAAAGAGCTCTTAAAGTAATTAAATCCAATGCCGAGGTAAGTGTTGCTAGCGAGGGATTCTGTGAGCTAAGTCAGGATTGTCTAAAGCTGATCCTGAAGGCAGATGACATGAGAGTTGACGAGATTTGCATCTTCCGATCTGTGATGTCGTGGGCGGAAGCTGAATGTCGACGTCAGGGAGGGGAGGTAACTCCAGAAAAGAAAAGAGAAGTGCTGGGAGAATGTGTATTTCTCATTCGCTTCGCTACTATTCCAGAGGTGAAATTTGCCACTACTGTCTGCAATGAAGGTATTTTAAGTGAAACCCATGCCTTGATGTTATTAAGAAAATACTCTATAGGCGACCTGGATATACGGCCGTTTTGCGACATATCTCGTTTACCTCCTGTCTATAACTTGTCTCGCTTACCTCCTGACCAAGAGCCCCACGAGACTCGCGGCAGTAAATGTCGAATTGATGCGTTGTATATATCCTGTGATGCCAGTGTTCACCTGACCGGGCTGAGCATGTATGCTGGGAAGCTGGCGGACAAGGTGTCTGTAGACATAGTTGTTACTGACATTGATAACAAAACCCTGCTGAAGCATCACCAGGACGTGGATGTGACAAAGGGACAACTCTCAGATGTGGTGATGTTTCCTTCACCTCTGTCTGTTAGTAAAGGAAAGAAGATAAAAATCAAAGTCACTAGGGAGGGCAATGAACACTTTGTATGGACGTGTATAATGAACAACCAGCCTTTGAGGACACATGAAACATCAGGTGTTGTGTGGTCACTAGAGAAATGTAACGAGAGTCAATATAGCAACAGCCTAGAATATGGATTCCTTACTGGGGTTTTCTACGAAGCGTAGTGTATTCACTCTTTTACCCTGATCCGTATCAAGAGGTTCGGGTGACTGAGGGACAACATTCCTACCAACTATCTTTGTACACCAGTAATGTAATATGGAACAAGTGAGTGAGTGAGTGTGGTTTTACGCCGCTTTTAGCAATATTCCAGCAATATCACGGCGGGGGACACCAGAAATGGGCTTCACACATTGTACCCATGTCGGGATTCGAACCCGGGTCTTCGGCGGGACGAGCAAACGCTTTAACCACTAGGCTACCCGACCGCCCCAATATGGATATAAGCTACTCCTAGGCGTTGTTTATCGCGCAATGAAACACTACAAGGACAATTTCACAAAAATCACCGTGAAATAAGGTGAAATAAGTATGGCTGCCGGAGTCGTTACAACAGACACATAAGACAGTTCACATTTCATTAATGTCGAACACACTAGTAAGGTCCACAATGACTGGCTACCTCAATATCTGGTGTAATCGCCTCGCACTTGGATAACACGTTCTACACGCCGTCTCATGCTGGTCACCAGACGTCTGAATCTCTGTTGGGGAATCTGCTGCCACTCATCATGCAATGCATGGGTCAATTCCTGAAGGCTCTGAACTGGAGGATCCCTAGCTCCCACCCTACGATATATGAATAATGGAATGATGAGTTCCAACAAAATGCCGGACAGGAATTTGACATTGGGATTTTTATGTTGCTTCAGCCAAGCATTACATGCAGAGATAGTGCACAAATGATGCTCAGGTGTCTTTGACAGTAAGAAACTATACAAAAGTTCGTTTGTGGAACCATATAAAAAAATAAGGAGCATTCCCCAAGACTTGTGGTGGTTGGTGGCTGACTTAGCCATATTGACAGCAGCTGGTGAAGAGAAGCCAAGCAACTTTGCAACATGTTGTAGATATGGCCACCATAGAAATTTGAAAATTGACCTCACACCATTTATCTCAATGTGTCCTGCTCCAGGTAAACCAATATATGCTTGTAAAGTTGGTGACTGGCATCTACAACATCATCATTGGGGTGCTCAATACCACAGTGCTTACTCAAACCCTGCAGGCCCTTTTTGACAATAACCTGACAAACTGGACATTTGTACCATTTAGTAAGCATTCTGCTTAATAAATTGTAGGGAGAACCATCGCATCCGAGAACTAGCCACTTTCTACTGTTACCGAAGTCACTGTCTGAACATATCTTATCCAGAACAGTTTGAAGACTATTATATGATGCAGGATTGACCATGGCTGGATCACCCAGACTAATTTCAGGTTGAATAATTGGATGGCCAGAGGTTAAAAAATCATAAGGATTATCCCTTTTCTTAAAGGGACCACAAGAAAATGAATGTGTACATTCATCAATATTGTCACCGAACAAACCATTTCTACATGTCAAGCTGTTAAGAACTATTTCCAACCTGCTTTCCAAGAATGTATCCACTAATGAAGACAATTCATGATGAAACTTGTTACTAGCTACATCCAAAGCCTGTGCCATATCATCGCCCAAATTACATACTTGTAACCAAGCGATTGGTGATAATTGGGGACAACATTGGATGTCACTGCTGGGGTCATTTATGTACATAATGTATGTCATGACACTGCATTTTGGTCTATAATTTATTGATACATGCCAGGATCTACCAATCACTGGGTTATTATCAAAGAAAACTGTTAAAGAGCCTTTTTAGGGGCTATGAGGTGTTTCCGTGCCAACCTTCAACCAGGATGTAAGTGATGGATAGGAACCACAGGGTGAGGTGGAATTAAGTACATTAACACAGTTGTTGCTACCAGATATGAAATAAGTGAGTACGGAAATTGCAAATGATATCGGCGTGATGATTGTGGGAAGGACAGCAAAATATAGAAATTCCACACATCTTGCTAACATGACAGTTTTCTTTGAAGATTGAAAACTGTCAGTATCCTCAACTGTGGGGCAAACTAATGCACCTAAGAATGTCAACAAGAGAACATTTCTACTTTTCAACCAGTCCTGAATGTTTAAATTGTCATAAAAATTTGAAGATTTCTATTGGACTCCAACCTCTTTTATGTCTTCTTCTACTTGGGAATGGATGTAGCTGCCAAGGCCACGAGACAAAGAAGTGAGTTCATACTCCGAACGGTTATCAATGGACAAATCATCCAACACACTTTGTACGTTTTCCTTCAGTTTGTCTCAGGAATCGAGATTAATTTTTCATTTGTATACTCCGCACAGGCAGTGCACAGGTAGGTTGATCTGGGTTGAAGGTACTTTAGTACATTAAGTTTTATTCTACTTTTGGGGGGAATTTTCTTGATTTAATTAGATACACTTGGAACTCTCGATTTTTAGAAAAGATTTCGTGTTCGCTGCAACTTCATTTTCTGCCCATATTGTACTTTTAAGATATATACCTGTAACATTACAATAAATAGTATGAAATATTTTAATATTTTACACTTGTTTTCTTTTATGGCTTAATGTTGGCAAGCAGAAGGACCTTTGAAAACAATACTCCAAACTGTAAATCCAAGGTAAGCGACGTAAAAGCATATGTCCAAATTACGAACGCTTCATTCATTTCTGCGACCAACCACGGTTACAACGTGGCATGTATTGTCTACCATAGTTTTAGTGGGCGTTGGCTCACGATTTGGGTGTTACATCCCTTGCCGGGACTGCAGGTGGCGTGGCAGAGTAGGAAGCATGGTGGATGGAGAGAGGGGTTGACAAGGTACATTTCAGGTAATTTTTTACTTTCAATGTTGTCTTTTTACACTGATTTATAGCACAGAATGTGTCCAAATGGCGGAGGGATACACGGGTTCACAAACCGCCTCCGTGGTCTAATGGTAGAGCGTCCGCTCGGAGAGCGGAAAGTCCGGGGTTCGATCCCCAGCCACGTCATGCCAAAAGACGTAAAAAGATGGTACTTGTTGTTACCCTGTCTGGCGCTCAACATTAAGGGGCTAAAACAAGGACTAGTCGGTTCGGAGCCAGCATACTGTGTCTGAGTGGGGTATTCATGTTAAACTGCGGCATGGTATCTCAGTGGGCTAGCACTATAAATCGGCATCAGCCCGGACTAGTACAAGCAGCCACACACACATACACACACACATACACGTGCATGCACGTCGCTATATAAGTGCAATAATCTTGGACGCGACGTTAAACCCCATTTCACCTCACCTCACCTCGGGTTCACAACAACCTGCGCAACAAACGGGGTAATGTAATAAGAATCGATGAATGAAAGAAGTTTTCATAATGTATTTTATACCCACCATCATGCGCCAAGTAGTACAGACAACGCACGGACAAAAATCGCATGTTATTATAGCCACACAGGACCAGTTTATTCTCAGTTAGGGGTATTGACACCAGTTGGGTTCATTGTCACCAGTTTGGGGTTTTCACCGACCTGAGGAACCATTCCTAGAGGGTCCAGTCTAGCTATTGTGGCTACCCGACAGTAGAAGAGTAGTGAATTTAGAAGCGAGTTTATTGCTAGGGGAACCTCGAGTTGGTGAATGATCCCATTAATGAAGTGATTGTTTGTGGATTGCGGACATATTTGTTTTAAGTTTTGCCCACGTGAGTCATTCCAAGTGACTGCAAATATGAAGTTTTTCGTTCGCCAAATTTATGCTTTAGATAGTACAATTATGACAGAACAGTCACCACTACTTATGTCTTATTTTGTCACGTAGGAATATGTCCCATTTTCCCACAACCCACTTTCTGTTTGGTATTTTGTAAGAAGTATTAAGAGAAAGTTTTGTGTGATAATAAGATACCTCTCATGACAGAGTTGTGTCGCATCATGCCGTTTTACTACTTTTTGGGGTGAAATCATCGTCACATTGTCACTACATTTCAATCTACCTATAACTCTAATGGAGATCCTAACTATCAAGACGTTCAAAATTGTGTTATACACATAAATCATATTTTGGTTGGATGTAAATTCATTTAAAAGAATTCATTGTTTTTTGAAAGCAAAAGAGGTCACACTGCAGCCCAACAAAAAACCGGTACACTTAACATCTTCAAATAAAAGAGGAGAGTTATGTGATAAATAAGAGCATGACCATTACTTTTGTATTGATTATTCTTATGTATCCCCAAGTATTGAAATCAACAGTTTTCGTCTCGTGAAAGAACCGCATAGAAGTCAAAAACGGATTTACAGATTAAAGATCAAAATGTACCAAATGTAAAGTACAGTTTAGGCATCTGCAGGCCATAATGGCCATGCTTAGAAGAAATCTGCAGTTCTTTATGAAATAACTAAAATATTCATACAATATACCAGTAACAACCTGTGGGAATTCTGGGTAAAAATATAGGTTCCCAACATCCCCTCAGTAGCTTCTTTGATTCCACGTCACCATATCCTAACTGCGTGGACTGTTCCTCAAGATGTCAATCACTGGATCCAGAGTCTTGTCGAGACTCGATTATTTACAGGCCGTTGTCATACAGCTGGAATATTTCTAAGTGAGGCGTTAAACAAAACTCAAACGAAGAAACAAATATGTGACAATATTACACATTTACTCAAATAGTATGTCAATAGTGGGAAGGTTATGCGCATGCAAATATTGTTATTTTCAGTGGATGGCTGGATTACTGAGAAAGAATTTGTCGACGAGAACCTCAGGGTTCGTATACAAACTAATCACAAACTATCCGCATATTATTGTTGATGTTGTTATTTATGTGAACGTTTTAACCGTTTTTGTCAATGAACATATGTATTTCATTAGTAATGTTATTGATATATGTTTCTCTGTATGAGCGTTCTGTTGGTATACACTGCCTCCCTTATCAAGTGGGTATTGCGTCTGCCTGGAGAGCGGAAAGTAATGAAAAAGAGGGTACCCGTTGTTACCTTTCCCTCCTGCTGGGCATTAAGGCCTAGTTGTCTGCAGTGGGAATCAGTATGGTGTGTTAGTGGATTGTCCATGTTGAACTGTGAACTGTGAACTGTTCCTACATTTGTAGACCTCTGCGACATGGGGTCTTTCCTGAATATGGGAAAGTTTACTATATGTTGTTGGCGGCTGATAAACTTAGAACCGTTACTTTGAGGAAAAAGTTCATTCCCTAGTTTCTGGTGCTAGCCTTACTAGACAACGGGACGAGTGACCGCAGAAAACAGCTTTGATGCTTCCTAGACTGGAGTAGCTTCCCTTTGATAATGGGCAATAACTCCAGCCGGCGGTTTGATTGATTGCCGCGAAAGATGATCATCCACAATATGAGAAGACAGTTGTCTTTTTGCCTAATTGATAGTCAGGCTACTGCCTAAAACAAGTTTCAGTTGGAACTATATTGTCTGTTGTTACTGTCCGAGTGACTAAGCACTGACCACCGTTAGTGGCAGGCCTAGGTTTAGTGATCTCAACCTTGACTCGTGTTGTTCGACTGAAAGACTGTTAAGTACTGTTTTAGAGGAATTAATTTGTAACACCCTTTGTGGACGGGTTAACCTTGCCCCGTGTTGTTAACCGGCTGGACTGAAACCTAACAACACTGGTCACAAAGGTAAGTGAAGCAGCAAGTACGGACTGTGTGGCACAAATTAAACTCCATAAAATTAATGATCCCCCAAACCTGTTTCGTTTTTGACCAGCAGCCCAGTGACTTGACATATCCGACCACACTTTGTTTTATTGTTATGTTGATTCCATACAAACAGCCGTCTTGTAACTGAAATACATACGCACGTGCACTCGCACACGCACTCGCACAGGCACACTCACACATACGCACGCACACTCACACATACACACACTCACATATACACACACGCACACACACACACACACACACACACACTCACTTTCTCACACACAGTCACACATACACGCACGCACAGTCACACACATACACACGCGCACACACTCCCTCTCTCACACACTCTCACACACACACACACACACACACACACACACACACACACACACACACACACACACACACACACACACACACACACACACACACACACACACACACATACACGTCGTAATGTAGGTGTCTTGCCTGTGTTGCATGTGGTTTATCAATAACTGATCCATAGCAAGGGAAGGCCAACTAGTCTACACTTCTGTCATGGACACCCTGCACAGCTGGTGTTAGTCGTTGCAGAGCAGTTATGTATGGATTCCCCTCGCCTGTCATGTCAACGCAAGCTGAACGAGGTAACACAGAACTACAAAATATTTCAGTGAATAAAAGCGACAAAGCCATTTCCATATTCATACGAAATCTCGACTGTAGGATTCCGACTGTATCATGAGCATTAAAAAATAAATCACTATCACGAGCATGTGTTTATGAATCACTATCGAATAGTGATGACACCAGGTGGTCGCAAAAAGGTGAGCATAACCTGCCCCACCGGTGGCACCCATCACAAACACATCCACATTCAAGCGATGACATGTCAAACGTAACAAACATGCAGTGAATGAGAGCGACAAAACCATACCTCACATTTATATCTAGCATTCATTGCAGTATGTGGCCTTGCCGCTAAGCCTCTACATAATAGTAGTCATGGTCCTATCATACAGGAGAATTTTGAATAATACGCATCAAAGCACTGGAATGCTGTTTTATCTGTATTATCATTACATTATGCTCAAACATGTCTACACTCACACACACAGACACATGCAATCACACACGCTCACATACATAGACGCACACACATGCACACACACACACACACACACACACAGACATGCTACAACACACGCAAACATACATAGACGCACACACAGGCACATGCAATCACATACGCTCACATGCATAGACGCACGCACAGGCACACACACAGACGCATGCAATCACTCACGCTCACATACATACATGCACACACACACACAGGTACACACACACACACAGACACATGCAATCACACAATCTCACATACATAGACGCACACAGGCACACTCACACACTCACACATGCAATCACACACGCTCACGTGCATAGACGCACACACAAGCACACACACACATGTCTCCATACCACTCAAACGCCTCCGTGGTCTTGTGGTAGAGCGTCCGCCCGGAGAGCGGTAGGTCCGGGGTTCGATTCCCGGCCGCGTCAAATAAAAAAACATTAAAGGATGGTACTTGTTGTTACCCTGTCTGGCGCTCGGCATTAAGGGGCTAAAACAAGGACTGGTCGGCTCGGAGTCAGTATACTGTGTCTGAGTGGTGTATTCATGTTAAGGGGGCACGGGTGGCCCAGTCGTCTAAGGCGCCGCGATTCGCTGTGCAGAGTTGCGTCCTCGGGCACGCCAGAAACCAATGATTGTGGGTTCTAATCCCGGTTCGCCCCGATTATGTTTCCAGGTTTGTCACCACCATACCCGTGCTCGTGGGTTTCACCGAAGTGGTAAACGTCTGAGACCTGCAATATATC